GCTGGATCCAAGTAGAGAGCAGGGCAGAGCTCTTAAAAGAGCTAGTGATTATGCTGAGCAGGTTCCCTTTCAATAACGAGACAAGGCTACGTTTTGAAGGGTCAAGAAGAACTGAGGTTTAATGACAAGTACTCTCCTTTTATGCAGTGCTCCCATGCAAGGGAGACACCCACAGGCAATTATACAGTGACCAATCAAAGAATGGTTACAACCCACAAATTCCCTCTCCTCTGCTTGGGACATAATTGAGTTTCTAACTGTATCTACTCAATTATCTCCAAGCTAAAAAATTATACTTTATACATTCTCATAACTTTCTTATTTTACATGGTACATGAATAAAAGTTATGAACAGTACAACTTGGGGAACAATATATTCAAAATTTGTGTAAATCTATTCAGTGGTTCGGGAGATAATAAAAAGTCCCTTGAACCGACCGCACGCCTGTGAGTACGCCCAAAATCAGTTCTACAGATTTAGGCTGTGCGGTCGGTCTATCTTTCGTTCGACAAAACTCCCTATTTGCACGAACAGATTCGTGCTTAGACTCATTGAATACATCTAGTTCGGGAGTTTATTTTACCGAAAGAGCTCTCTGTTCGGATGGATTTAGCCGAACGCGCGGAGGATGGAAGTTTCAGCTGTGTTCGCGTAAAAGTCTAGCCGAAATTAGTTCAACGCGGTCGACGACCAAACACCGCTGAGTGCATTCGACTATCCAAAATGGCCACCGCCATGTGTTCGTGCAAACGAATGCCGACCACCCAGTCTATCAATTAAACCCATGGAGGGTTCGTGGTTTTCACGGTGTTCTTACAGTCAGGGAGGTAAATGAGTGGCACACTTCTGTTCTGGGTGGTCGGCCGTTCCGTACAAAATTCGGTATTCAAACGTTCTTATATTGTATCTCTATTACACGAAAGCCATTATACGAACAGTCTTTGTCTTTTAAGTGCGGGATAAAGTGAGGAAGGGCAAGAAAATGGTGAAGGTTCCCAGGCACATTGTATATAATGTTACATGATTATTTGGTTGTATATAGCAACATCTCCAAGCAAAATAACCAATACTGAACATTAGTGATGTCCCGAACGGTTCGCCACGGATGGCGAACATATGCGCTGTTCGGTCCGCCCCCATGTCATCGTTGAGTAAACTTTGACCCTGTACCTCACAGTCAGCAGACACATTCCAGCCAATCAGCAGCAGACCCTCCCTCCCAGACCCTCCCACCTCCCGGACAGCATCCATTTTACATTCATTGTGAAGCTGCATTCTTAGTAAGCTGTCCAGGAGGTGGGAGGGTCTGGGAGGGAGGGTCTGCTGCTGATTGGCTGGAATGTGTCTGCTGACTGTGAGGTACAGGGTCAAAGTTTACTAAATGATGACGAATAGGGGGCGGACCGAACAGCGCATATGTTCTCTGTCTGCAGTGAACCGTTCGGGACATCACTACTGAACATATGTCTCTGACAATGAACCATTGTCATTGGCATTTACGTCACCAAACTTTATTTAAGTGCAAGAGAAAAAAAAAGTGACAGTTCCTTGTCTACAAAAATAAGGAAGAAAAATTCCCAGCATTCTGAATGTAAATGTAACTGATATTTATTTAGACTTTGATTGCAAGTGACACAATTTCAAAGTCATGTGGGTGTAAAAAAGTTATCACTTATCTTTAAAGATAGAATGAACCGAATTAAAATTAATTGAATGCTGAGGATGTATTTCTTCTCCTTGATACAGTGATGTTTGATCAGCTTTCAAATAAAGCTAAATTTCAACACCATTTTTTTTTCCAGGGGTAGAAATGTAGCAATTTTTTTTTGTTGGTATCAATAGCCGGCTCGGTAAGTGCTTGCCTGCTCAATTCATTTATTGTCGCAACACATAGGCCTTTACATGTTTATCAAATTTTGAACAATTATGTTTAAAATGGCCCTGTGTGCCTGCAAGGACTATCCTTAGCCATTTAATGCAGTGTCTTGAATGTACAGATGTTTGTTTGTCTTCTGGCCATTTGCAACCAATTCCACTTGACTCCTATTTTATATTCCTCAATCTTTCTAAATAACATGCATAAATGAAGCAACACCAAGTCTGTGTGCTCCAGTCATTATTTCAAGCTATTGTATCTTCTTCTCAAGCCACCAGACACATTTCTATTAATTCATTTAGATTATGCTTTTTCCCCCCTATTACAACCTTTATTAGCATTTTGTACAATGACCCTTACTCTTTACTCAAACTACATGTTGAATCAGTGTTCTGCCTACAATATCAATTTCACTACTAATGAACCTGATGTCCTCAACTTTTGATACACAGACACAAGTTAAAATGAGCAAAATAAGACAATGTATAATTAGTTTGCAATTTATTATGTGATAGAAAATATACAAGAAATGTATACAATGTGAAGATTATTTAAGTAGAAAGGGATAGGTAAAATAAATAAATGCACCTCATAGATAAACATTTAAAACATTCCAAATTTTTGTAAAGAATCATGTCCAGCTTGACATACTTACTGAGACAGGACAAAGCCCAGCACTGTTTAAGTCTTTAGTAAATTAAGCAATGATAATTATTAAGCTGAATTAAGATAGCTAATATACAAAAGAATTTAAATAGTGGAAACGTGACACAGCCTGTATTCTTTAGAGGGTCTGTAAGAATGTTACATGAAGCTAACAAACATTAGAGACATGAGAAGTAAACAAAGAGTCCAGGGCATGGAAAATCCTGCAAAAAGAAAAAGAAAGTTGGTTTAATTTTGATGTAATATTAGATTTGTAAAATCAAATTCAATGTAATATATAAATATGTTAAGCATGTGGACATTGTCTATACAACAGTAAGACTTACAAAGTTCACTAATAATAAAAAGGTAACACTTTGATGATTGTTCTCATCTCCTGTTAGAACCCAAGGATGATATACATATTTCTTACAAAACCAATATATGCCAAATAGAAGGTATGCTAATGAAGTCAAATCAATGAAAAGTTGGGAGGTGGACAATGAACCTTCAATTTACATCTAGTAAATAGAGTAAAATACAATAAACAATGATGGAACATGGAAGGTTTTATAGCGAGCCATTACATGTTGCAAACTGAAGGCATATGATCATGTAGTAAGCACTGGTACAATACAATTATTGAAATAGTCGAGAACAACCTGTAAGCTTTCTCCACCTTTACCTGTATGTGTTCCATGTAAGTGAATTAAGAATTGTACACAACGCACAGCGATACATGTGCATGTTTCTATATTTACAGTAATTTTACATTATCAGGATCAAGGAACCAGTACAGTTAAAATATATATATTTTATAATTTGAAATTAACTATTATAAAGAGAGGTATAACTTATTTGCTTACTGTCAAGAGCGCCTGATGAATCGCCAGATGCATCTGTAAAACAAGCCGTTTTGTGTAAGTTTATATATGTAAACTCTATTACAAATATTTATTAAGCATCACATTTCAGTATTTATTAACCTGTATGTATTTTAATCTACCAATATACAAAATCTGCACAATGAACTAACATATAGAAAGCTTAAAGGACCACTATTCAGCTTAATGAAGTGGCCTGGGTGCCAGGTCCAGCTAGGGTTAACCCCTTTTTTTTTTATAAACATAATATATATATATATATATATATATATATATATATATATATATATATATATATATATATATATATATATATATATATAATCCAGCCTCCAGTGACTGTCTCTTGACAGCCGCTAGAGGCGCTTGCGTGCTTCTCACTGTGAAAATCACAGTGAGAAGACGCCAGCGTCCATAGGAAAGCATTGTGAATGCTTTCCTATGGACTGGCTGCGCGCGCGGCTCCTGCCGCGCATGCGCATTCAGCCAAAGAGGAGGAGAAGAGGGAGGAGAGGAGGAGGAGAGCTCCCTGCCCGGTGCTGGAAAAAAAGGTAAGATTTAACCCTATCCTCTCGATCCAGCCAGGCGGGAGGGGGACCCTGAGGGTGGGGGCACCCTCAGGGCACTAAGTGCCAGGAAAACAAGTATGTTTTCCTGGCACTATAGTGGTCCTTTAAGCTTTACATGTTAAACATAGGACTATAATGGTTTTCTCTTTTTTAAAATCTGCTATTGATGTGAGAGATGCCCCATGTCTTTGATCTTTTTGTTAATTCAAATTTCACATAATTTATTTTTACTCATTACTTCAAAACAGTCTTTTACTGACGAGTGATTTAATACATTTCACTGCATAGCTTGAAGTATTT